CAATAATTTTGTAGATATTTACGTAAATATCTTAGAAAATAGAGGTCGCATAAAAATTTTTTTCAAACAAAAGTTGTTTGCTTTTTCACGTAGAATAAAATGCCGTAATAAAAAATATGTATTTCTATTTAAAAAAGCAAAGTTGACCTTGTCCTGACCTTGGCGACGTCATCTTAGGTCAAATAACTACTGTTATTAAATGCGACTTTTTAAGCCTTACAACTTTTATTGGAAACATTTTTCTCTAAAATGCTCCCCCGCCGAGTTATCATGCCGTCCCGGTACTTTTTGGACACTCTGTACACACACACACACACACACACACACACACACACACACACACGCGCGCGCGCGCGCGCGCACGCACGCACGCACACACACACACACACATTACCAATTTAAATTTCGATTTTCTTATTTTTTTATTAATTTAATAATTATAATTACATTTATTTTTTTACGTATACTATTTATAGAAATATTTACCTAATATTGCTAGAAATATTTATTTTTTGTTTACTATAAATATTGTATAAAATATTTAAGTTATATTTTAATAATATTTTGAATAAAGATTTTGATACTTTTTTCTTTATGTATAGCAATATTTATAAAATATTTATATATTATTTTTAAAATATAATTCGACATTAATATTTATGAATCTTTATCATAAATATTGTGTGCTGTCTAGGACTTTGTTGAAGTTAACATGTACTTTTCGTTTTTTAATTTTTGTTTTTTTTCAATATCTCAATCATTATTGTGAGTATCGCAAAATGTGAGTATACGTTCACCTGATCCGTATTATATGTCTAGAAGAGCTTCAAAGGTTGTTCTGGAATACCTTATATAAATCAGTAGCTACAAATAATAAACATTATTGTAAGAATGTTCTTTATTTGGAGGAAGGGTTGTTAAATAATTATATATATATATATATATATATATATATATATATATATATATATATATATATATACACACATTTATTAATTATTAATTTATTGCATTATACGTTATCTAATTTTCACATTCATAAGTGTTAAGTACATGTTCATAAATATAAGTTTTAAGATTCCAGTTTGGAAGATGAAGTCATTCCTTGTTTTCTTTTTATTTGAGAAGCCGTATGACGGTTTTGATTGCCCTCTCTCTTACATGTTTTTTTGTGTTCTTTCGTAGGCATATATTTATCTTGCTCTTGACCTTTAGATTTACCTTAAATGAAAAAGAAAATGCATGCGGTAGCGTGCGCATACGTGAATGCGTGTGTACATGTATGATGTGTGAGAATTTAAACTTAAAAAATGCTCATTATAACAAATTGTTTTATATTAAAAGATTCTTTTAACAAAGAAATCCTTTTATAGTTATATAATGAAAGATATTCTATTTTTTATTATATAGGCTATCTTAGGACAACTTTCGAAGTTCTCGTGGAGACATAACACAGATTAAGGTGAACATAAAAGTTCCATGCTATTTTGCGATATTCGCAATAATTATTGAGATATTAATTAAAAAAGATTGGTGAATGATCACATGTAATATGATAGATAAGCTGTAGTGGCGCAGTCTGTCGTTGTATACTTATATATCAAGTCAAATTAAACAAAAATCTATCATTTTGCAAATGACTACATAAATTTTTAGATATTAATTAACGAAGATTCATTCATTATTGCGTACAATCATACAACAATTTTCTTTCATTAATAACTAAAAATCTACATGGTTATTTGCAAAATAATAGAGAGATAAAATTTTTATTCAATTTGACCTAATATAGAAGCATACAATGACAAACGTCGCCACAATAACTCACCTACCATATCTCATGTGATTATTCACAAATCTTTCTTAATTGATGTCTCAATAATTATTGCGAATATCATAAAACGGTATAGGACTTTTATGTCCATCTTAATTTGCACTATGTCTCCATAAAAACTCCGTTTTTAGAAAGTTTTTGAAACACCTTATCTATCTATTAATTTACATTTCAATAACTAAATGAAATTATAAAGGATTGCTAAGAAAAATTTCAACATAAACTTTGAAACATACCGACTACATTTTGTGAATTTTTATCTCCTTTTGTTGATTGTTTTCGTTGTTCTGTTCTAGCACGCAAATTCACTGGATTTTGTATAAAGTGATCAATATTTTGTACTGACTTCTCATTTTCAATTTCTATGTCATCTTCGAAATTAGCATCATATTTATCATTTGTGCACAAAATCTGGAAATAAAATGTTACGCACACAAAATAATATTCATAAATTTATGATGAAATTATTTATTAAAAACAAAAAACATTTAAACCAACTCTTGGGGTAGTGAAAGGTCTAAAATCTATTTCTGTAGTATCTGGCACGCTACTTCGAACATTATGGCTGTCATATGTATCGTCATATTCATCATCGTAATCATCCACTTCATCTATAATACTATATTTTTCATAAATGGATTTGTCAATTTCAGATTTGTCATTTAACATTTCATTTGCATCCTTATATTTTTCTTTTCTAGAAAAAAGGGAAGAAATGCATTTAATGTTGACTAACTTTTTATAACTTTTCTATAATTCTTTAATATGAATTTTTTATCGAATTATATACAGGATGTCCCGCGTAAAACGTGTCAAAAGAAAAATATAAATGGAACAGATAAAAGTGAACAAAAATTGTAGAGGTCATTTTTCAAACCATGTAAAATTTCGAGATATTAATTAAAATAGTTAGACATATCAGAGCGCGGCGATGCGGCAGGCGGGACATACGGCTCGCCGCGGCCGGTGAAAAAAATGGACGATTACTCGCGGATCTATCTTATAGGCCAGAGAGGTGGGCCGTTTGGCATATGGAAATGGGTAGCTCCGTTTGTATGTACGTGTACGTGTGCGCTCGTTCATTTTCTTCGCCAGCCGCGGCGAACCGTATGTCCCGCCTGTCGCGTCGCGCGCTCTAATTTGTTCAACTATTTTTATTAATATCTCGAAATTTTACGTGGTTGTTTGAAAAATGACCTCTACAATTTTTGTTCAGTTTTATCTGTTCTATTTATATTTTTCTTTTGGCACACCTTACGCTGGACACCCTGTATACAGGGTGTCTCAGACCTCCATGATGACTCTTTGTGAGAACGTAGAACGGATTGATGTGAGCAAGAAAGTTCTGTGTCGTTTTGCGATATTCACAATAATAGTCGAGATATTAATTAAAAAAGACTGGTGAATGATCACGCGCGATATGGTAGATCAGCTGCAGTAGCACCGTCTGCCGTTGTATACT